CCTTGGTGTAACTCCAGCCTCGCTGCTGTTTGTGGTTTTTGGGTTTGTTTTTTTTTAATCAGAAACGGTCTGCGTTTGAAAATCTGTATTCATCACTGCAGCTAGACTGGACACTTAAATTACTCTGTAGGAGGTGCACATTATTTGTAATTCAGCAGTGCTAAATGTCCCTTCTCAGGACAGGTGCTCCGTTGTGATGTGTGCTGTGCAACTGTTAATCACCCTGAAGAGCTTTCTGTCTAAATAGACAAAGAATGGGAAAAAACAAGACCAAAGTCACGGAGCACTTTGTTCACACGCGCAGAAGTTGGTCAGTTGGTCAGTTGAAGGAATACAACCACAATCTTGCTTCTCTTTCTGGTCTCTGCTCTTGCCAGACTGCAGTAGTGGTTCGTAGAGTAAGCCTGGCCCTGTGGCGCAGGGGCGTGTGGAGCCCAGGAAGGGCCCTCCAAACATTAGCGGTTAGTGGCATGTCATCAGCAGCTGCAGCCCGGGGGGTCTTCACTGATGTAAGTGGGAGAATTCAACTCCCTTGTCCTGGGTTTGTTCAGAGCTGTATCATCTGCAGGTGTGTTTATGGTAAGGACCCATTTATGCCTTTGACTCGTATTGATGCTTGATAAATTTTAGTATTTCTGCTCAGTATTCTGAGATTGTGGGAATCAACTGAGCTTAAGAATTGGCTAATGTCTTGTTTTCGTAAAGTGAATTCTGAAAAAAATGGTTAGCATTTTAAAAAACATCTCCATTATCATGAGTTTCTATTTATTTTTCCCCCCTCCCACTTTTTCTCACAGGTTTTGACTATTTTGAAGCTAGTGCCAAAGAAAACATCAACGTAAGGCAGGTGTTTGAGCGTCTCGTGGATATAATCTGTGAAAAGATGTCGGAGAGTATAGAATCAGACCCTTGCAGGGGCACTTCTGGAAGGACCATGCGACTCACAGACAACCCACCCCCTTCGCAGCAGAACTGCTCGTGCTAGCGACCTTCCTCGCCGAGAAATGTCCTTCTTTCCTGACTAAATTTTGTCTTTTCATTTGTGGTGGTGCATTTTCATGTAGTCCAAAGGCAGAAGTTTCTGTTGTAGGAAATTGGTATGTTTGTTTAATGTGCTGAAGTGTTAATATTATAGATTTCCTTATCCAATAATTAAAAAAAAACCAAACCTGACTGAATATTGTAAGTGCACCTAGTGTTAATGTGAGTTACACTGAAGAAGAATTATATAGTGTTGCAGATGTTACTTCCAGAGAATGTTGCATTTTTAATTATAAATTCCACTACTGCAGAGAGGATTTTTGTCAAGACCAGCAGGAAATGTAAAAACCAATCAGAAGGGACCAGGTCTAAAAGAAAATGGGGAAAAAAAATCTCTTATAAAGCAAGAATTTGCTTGGTTTTTTGTTGGTTTTTTTTTTTTACATTAAAAAAAAAATCAATCCCCAGATATTTTGAGTCATTGTTGCTATCCTCTAGACATGGACCTCAGTTTTTCTGTACAATGGAGCAGAAAGCAATGTATTTCTGTCTGACAGTTTGAGGTCCTCCAGAGAGCCAAGAGCTTTTGGATTTTCTGTCAAGCCTCTAAATGGAGGAAGAGCACGTGGAGGACTCAAAGCTGCCAGGCAGGGGAGGAGGAGGAGGCCTCGCGCCCATACCTGCATCTCCCCGTGCTCTTGGCTGGTGCTGGGTGAAGGAGCAAGAGCCCTTCAAGGGGCTGCCCTTGCCTGCAACCTTCTCCACAGTTGCCAGTAAGGGCTCGCAGCACGCTGGCGGTGTTGCTGTGTTCGGCACCTTGCTGTCTCTAATCGGTTGTTTCTAGGCGCCCGAGAGCTGACTGTCCTGCGGTTTGTCCTCTCTGTCCTGTAGTTTTACCTCTCCAGGTTTGGATCTACTCTGATCAACCGCTTGATGGTGGATTTGTTGCAGGACAAAGAGAGGAGGAATTGGCTTGTTGGAGGCAAAATCTGACATGTAACACTTGGAACAGCACTGTCTCAGAAAGATTAAAAATATCAGGAGCCAAAATGTGAGTCTTGCCAAATATTAGCGGCAATTATTATTAGATTTTCTTTCTGCATTTTGTTGTTGATTTTTTTTTTTTTTTTTTTTTTTTTTTTTTTTTTTTTTTTTTTTTTTTTTTTTTTTTTTTTTTTTTTTTTTTTTTTTTTTTTTTTTTTTTTTTTTTTTTTTTTTTTTTTTTTTTTTTTTTTTTTTTTTTTTTTTTTTTTTTTTTTTTTTTTTTTTTTTTTTTTTTTTTTTTTTTTTTTTTTTTTTTTTTTTTTTTTTTTTTTTTTTTTTTTTTTTTTTTTTTTTTTTTTTTTTTTTTTTTTTTTTTTTTTTTTTTTTTTTTTTTTTTTTTTTTTTTTTTTTTTTTTTTTTTTTTTTTTTTTTTTTTTTTTTTTTTTTTTTTTTTTTTTTTTTTTTTTTTTTTTTTTTTTTTTTTTTTTTTTTTTTTTTTTTTTTTTTTTTTTTTTTTTTTTTTTTTTTTTTTTTTTTTTTTTTTTTTTTTTTTTTTTTTTTTTTTTTTTTTTTTTTTTTTTTTTTTTTTTTTTTTTTTTTTTTTTTTTTTTTTTTTTTTTTTTTTTTTTTTTTTTTTTTTTTTTTTTTTTTTTTTTTTTTTTTTTTTTTTTTTTTTTTTTTTTTTTTTTTTTTTTTTTTTTTTTTTTTTTTTTTTTTTTTTTTTTTTTTTTTTTTTTTTTTTTTTTTTTTTTTTTTTTTTTTTTTTTTTTTTTTTTTTTTTTTTTTTTTTTTTTTTTTTTTTTTTTTTTTTTTTTTTTTTTTTTTTTTTTTTTTTTTTTTTTTTTTTTTTTTTTTTTTTTTTTTTTTTTTTTTTTTTTTTTTTTTTTTTTTTTTTTTTTTTTTTGGTGTGCTAGATGGCGGGGGGTGGGAATAGTTTTTCTGGTTTAACATTCAACCGCAAAGTTCAATTCAAAAAAAGGAAGACTGATTAATAAAACATAACTGCAAATCAAAAATAGCAAAGATGTCCTGGTAGAATTATTCTATCGATGTTTTGTTGTGTCATTCTTTGAAGGGAGGAACAATTTTTAATACTTAACATCTAAAATATTGTTATGCTTCCAACATCTCTAAAATTACAGAACTTCTACATCTGTGTAGAACTCTGTGTGCATTAGCCACATGCAGAGTAGGAACTGCTTTTGCAAATCCGTGAAATTACATATGCTGTATGCCTTCATGGTCGCACACTTGTTTGCGTATCCCAGCTCCAACCAGTGATTGCAAATTGTGTCTGTAAATGTAAATTAGGTGGATACGGAGAGTTTGCTGTCTTAAGGTGAAAATTCTGACAAGTTTTATGGCTTTACCTTAGGCCTATGAACTCCTCTGACCGAGGAAACTTTCTGATGTCAGAAACTGGAGTGGAGTATCTGCCCACTGCACTGTAATTTGCTGGATCATGACACGAGTGAATGCTTTTGTGATGTTGTTCTGTCTCAAAATGTAATAGTTCTACGAAAAAAGCACAATATTTTGGAGAAAAATGCAACTACGTTGATATAGTTTGAGCTCATTGTGTTAAAGGCTTGATCCCTTTGTATGTTGCTTTCAGAAATCTTTACTGTGACGTATTTTGAGTGTGTGTGATCTAGTACTGAAAGTGCGATTTGTGCAGTGCTAGGAATGTGGTTATTGTATCTAACCCCCTGAAACTGCGAAATAAAGAGAAATGTAGTCACCAGGTGTGGCCGGAGAGCTTGCGTGAGCTGCATTACTAGCGTATTAAGCAATCGTGTGCATGTGTAAAGAAGGTAACTCTTCAGTGCTTTTAAAATACGTCAAACTACATTGATCTTTTTTGACAGGGTGATGATCCTTGAGCCCAGCAACCTGGAATCACTATGCAGATTTAAAACAGAGTGAAGAGAAGGATTATTTGGCCAATAAATCTGCAGTGCAGTGTTTTAATTGTAGCCGAATCACGGTTTTGGGATACTTGTGTAACTAGCAAAAAGAAACAAAAGCTTCTGCCTCGGGGAGCAATGATTTTGAGCTGTGCTGCAGGTATAATGGAGTGCCTCAGTGCAAATAATGATTTCTCAGCTCAGCAACTCAATGGTAAAAGAAAATGGATTCAGCAGAAATGAAATTTCTGTTTTTTTGTATTATTTACTTTTTTTTTGCATAAGCAAAAAAGAACTTTCCCTTTTCTACCCAATATATAGTTATGTTTCATTGTGTTCCAGTCAAGTCAGATGTGCTTGGTTTTTTGTTTTTTTAAGTCCCAGGCCCTTCAAGCTAGCATGGGCAGAATTGGTTTTTACAGCATAAGCCAGCAAGTAGCTGTTCCCAATTCCACCCTGCCCTATATTGTATATATGGAGAAACCTAGTATTTGGTGCAGAAAGCCCACAGAGTTTATTTCAAATAAGAAATCAAATCATCACAGGTAACTGACACATAAAATAATTTAACAGAGAGATGTATCTCATTGTCTTACATTTGCATTAAAAGCTGTGAATGAATACAGCTTTGTATGAGACAGCCTTTTGCCTGAAGTGGCAGGCAGCTGATTTCTGTATCACCAGTGAGTCAGTAGTAATTGTTACTTGTATTAACTTCTGAGAGGTAATGTTGTCAGGGCAAGGGAAATAACAGCCAAAGACAACCCTAAAATTCTTGTATAGAGCCTTCCATTTCACTGGCAGTCGCCTAGGGTAGTAGTGTTGATAAAACAGGTTACAAGATAAAAAGAGGGGTACTAGAATGTGAAAGGAAAAGGGTGACTGCTCTTCACAAGCTTCTCTCTATGGCTTGTACAATACAGCACTGCTTGTGCAGTTCTCCAGAAAAAGCCACACAGGAGGCTCTGGGTTAGACGTGGGTCTTGGCTTCCATCTTGTGGAGAAACCAAGCACTAAAATATCAGGTATACTATCCAATCTAAATTATCGTCCCTGTATCTCAGACAGCCCCCCTCATTTGCATTAGCCTCTGATCCCTTAGCTTTGCTTTCATCATCTCTTTTGCAGTCAATATAGACTTACACACAAGCACATAAAATAGCTAACAGCACTGTTATTACAGGAATAGCAGACTACTGAACAAATGTGGAACAATGCAAAAGAGAAGTGATAAATGCAATGGCAAGCTTCCTAACAGCTCTCAAAGCCTTACAAGAAAAAGGATCCTGGCAATGTATGCCATTTGGAAACGCCAGCTTCAAAGAGCGTTACGACAAGAGGAAAAACAGCATTCCTGTCAAGACTTGAAATTGCTATGTCAGCACTGCAGTTTCATAGGGGTGAAAAAAGTATATTCACAAATTGGAAAATGCTGAGACCTACTGAACTGCAAAGACTAGGCCATATCAAGAATAAACACAGTCTTTTCTGTTAAACAGTCATGGGTACAAACTTTAAACTATTAACAATACCATTAGAGGAAGAAAAAAATTTTTAAAAATCAGCAGTCAACAGTAAGCATGTACTGATCTCTCTGAAGACCAGCCCTACTGCTGGTTGAAATAAAATTGCAAACTTAAAGCTAGCTCATTTAATTGTTGAACAATGCCTGAAAGCTGGTGTTGCTATCGAATCAACAGTACGGTCAGGCGTTTTGACCCCGGAATAGTCAACATTTCTTTAAACCGATTCAATGTGGTTAGGTTCGGTTTTTCTAACGACGCTGAGGGCGGCTGATGACAGCGAGCCGTGTCTTCGTGCCAAGTTTCGGTCTCAGGTTCAGTGCGTTTGGCTCGACCCAACCGCCCGATTTCACTGCCGGTCTCGGAGCTACTGCCGGCGATGTCCGCTGGCGAGCTGGGCTCGCAGATGGTCCCCGGCCGTGGTAATTCACCGACTCTTTTTCAAGCTGTACCGGGAAGGACCGGCGACGTGCCGGCCGCACGCACCCGCTGCGCTCAGGGGACTGCGCATGACACCGCTGATTGGGCCTATCAAGAGTGAGCGACAGCTAATTGGGCCAATAGTTGAAGGAAATGAGAGAAGAAGGCTGGCCTCCACAAGCTGGCGGTTGGACTATTCCAACACAAGAGCAGGGGGGACAGCTAACATAGCAGGCGGGAATAAATGTCGGACTACGACGGCACAGAGAGGAGTTTCCGGGATCTGGCTCTATTCTTCTGTCTTTTCCTGGTCCCTCTTAGGTCTCTGTCCTCTCGGTTTGATTTCTGAAAGGGGCTGCATTTCCCTTCGTTTCTCTCCCCGTCTATGGTTTCCCCCACCGCTCCCACGCCATCAGCATTCTCTTCCCC